AAATTGTGAAAACACCATGGACAGATTAAAAAGCATACTGAAGATGTCTCGGAAGAAGTGAACTCATGAAGAGATCTGATAACTCAGATCAGAAGTAAACAATCTACATTTGATGGGCACCTCATGAGGAATGAAAAAACTGGAGTACATGATAACATTTGGAATGTTAGAGAGGAAGTAAGGCAGGTGGAGACCAAAAGAGAAGAGTTTCAAAAATGATTTATAATACATGAAACAGAATTATATGGACTTTCACTGTTTCCAACATCACATGGCATTTCCTACAAGTAGAAACATGGCTATCCTCTGATTAACGGTCCCAAACTATTGAAGCTAAAAAAAACCCTAACAAGGCCTCAGTCATTTGTAAATTGCAGACCTCTTTCCTGCATCTATACTGCATACCGTGGAAAAGCTTCCGCTGAGTTAAAGTCACTGCCGAGAGTTTCCCCCCCCCCATGCCGCTATGCCCGGCGAGGAGGGGAGGCTAAACTAGATGGCTGGGACTCACGAGCAGCAGCTACCACATCTCCTGCAGCTTATTCCATTTTATTTGCTTGTGAGTCCCAGCCATCTAGTTTTAGCCCCCTCCGTGCTGCGCGTAGCGACGCGGGGGATACTCTAGGCAGTGGCGATATAGTGGCCGGATAGAGGTCCGCATTTTACATATGAATGAGGCCCTGTTAGGGTATTTTCTTAGCTTTGATAATTTGGGACCGTTATTCAGAGGATAGCCAAAACATCTTACTGCAAAACGTACTTTTGATAAGGTTATTAAAAATAAAAATGTCTAGATCCGTATGATATAAAGGAAGTCACACTCTGTTCACAGAGGATTGGCTGTACAACCTAACGGTTGAAGAGAAGAAAAAACTGTATGCAGGCATTGGATACGATGAAAATGCTAATTTTGTGTCCTACCCAAAAAAGGTACTTTTGATTTTGATTTTGTGATACATTTTTATGAGTTTGAGAATTGAAAAAAAAAAAGTAAGAGGTGCAGCTCAGATTTCAGAGTTAGTAAAGTTAAGGTGGAAATGATACTTTGTACTAGATTCATCAAGAAAAACAAATCAGTGGATTGGCCATGTCATTAGAATGTAGCACATCAAATACCATCATGGGTATTATATTTCAGAAGATCAGCTACAAGAGCAAGAATATGGCGATGAAAATTATAAATCAGCAACGTTAAAGACACTTTATGCCTTTACGACATGACAGCAGCAGGTGCCAGTCAGCATGCACTGGATTGCAAATTGTTCCTCCCCACAATGCTTAACAGCAGAAGTTTTTTTAAATGATGATGATGAGTAAAGTAAAGGACGCTTTTCACACATTGAGTGACTTTGTGGCCTATTGTACTATCCTAATAATTTTATGGACCAAATGGCTTTCAGCGGATGATATGGTCAACTTTTCATTGGCTGCTTTTACTTGCCATAATATTTCCTGGTATCCATTTTATCCTGGGTCAACTGTCAAGCAAGGTCATTCTAGATTTTAGTGTTTGAGAAACTCAGAAAGAAAATGTATTCAGTTTTCAGATTTTGTTAACTGCCATTGTTGTTCTTCCTGAAAGAAAGTGTTCCAAGAGTTTAAGCTGTGAAAGCCTTGCTTTTCTTCTTCATTATTTGTGATGTGGTTGGTGAGTCATATATATATATACATTGCACAGTAAAGATGAATGTTTTCAAAAATTAGTTTCTTTTTTTAACAATTTACCATAAGATGCTGTTTACCCTTTGTAATTTTGTTTTTTTTTTAAAGTTTCATCTGTTGCTAATTATAGAGCTAAGATATTCAAAGTATGTGATGATACATTACCTTACCATTATAATCTGCATTTAAAAAAATGTTATTAGGTCATTGTTCTATACATATTGTCTGTTAAACTTCTGCACACTGGCATTTTCCTTTCTTCTTTATCATATGTCAGAGTGACATAATTGTATTGTGCCTGTTTGCAGTCTAGCTGCAGTATTTGAACCTTTCAGCCGACATATCCAATTTTTTTTGTCATTTATTTTTTGGGTTAACCCTTCTAAACATGTCATTTGACACATGATTTATATTTGTGTAGACAGTGTGTTGAGTTTAAAATAGCACATACAAATCATTGTTTATGTCACATTCATTCTAATCAATCATTCAAATTCTCAGGGATGTTAAACAATTTCTATTTCAGTATGTTGCCTCCAAGATACAAATCATTTTGAAAAGATGCTGTGTGTCCATGGTCAACTACAGCAAAAAGATTCTCCAAGTCTCTGTGACACACTTTCTGTCCACATTTGAACACAGACCAGGAAATAATGCTGTCAGGCAAGCCACTTGTTCTGTCTATTGCCATGTTGTATGTGCACAAACTAAAAATGTCTAGATTCGTATGATATAAATTACACAATGAAAGCTCACAAACAGCGACCAAATGGTTGGTTTGCAATGCTCTGAAAAACAAAGCTACTAAATAAGGTTAAATTTGAAAAGTCAACATAATAAGAATGTGGCTCAAGAAATCAGTACTAAAATGATGATTGGTCTATAAAATATAGATCTAGCCCTATATGCCCAATATGATGGAAGGTGCGGAAGGAGTCCTTCACTTTATTTTACTATTATGCATAATGGCAAATATAGACCAAATGTGATTGTTGATATGATAACCAGCTGTAGTAGGGAAAAGGGATTCTACCCAGAAAATTTGCTTTTATCACCTGTCCTTACATAATTATTGATGATTTTTATCATTAACACTAAAGTTGATTAATGAAAACCAAAGATGTTAAAAAAAAACTGCCTGTTGTTCTTTGAAATGAATTTAACATAGTTTGTATGTTTTCCGAGTAGGATTTCTTGCAACACAGAAAGCTTTGCTATAGAAGGAGCTTCCATAGAGCATGAACTTATACCCATCCTGACATCTGATATTGGTGTTTATGGTAAGTTGCCTTGTAAATACTCATTGATTCACCATTTACCACAGTGTCAAGTGTCAGCAGTCATGGTTAACCATCTCACACAATTATCAGACACACAGTTCGCGTGCCTCCCAAACAAGCTTTCCATAAAAGATAACTAATTAGAAATGTTTCCTTCAAAGTCGGAGGGCATCTGCCTGAGAGGCAAGGAACTAACAGTCTGCATACAGATAAACAAGATCTGTGAAATGGATGTGCACACAAAACTGAAGTTCTGGAATGTGACCAAAGTAATGACCTGAGAAGAGACAGTAAAATATGCCAAGCAATAAATTGTTCAGTCTCTTGTTTGTGTCTTCTTTGTCACTTGTTGATATTCTCATAATGAGACATTATTGTATAATAAATTGTCACCTGTTAACGTTCTCATGCGTAGACATTATTTTTCTAATAAATCGTCACCTTTGTACATTCTCATGTTTATTAATTAATTTTTGTAATACATAATCACCTGTCAAAAATTCTCATATTTAGTTAGACATTATGTTTTATAATAAATTGTCAGCTGTTGACATTCTCTTATTTTCACATTTTGTGAATATGATTTTTACTCGTTGGATATCAGATTCCAACATTATTTCTATTATCTTCTGTGACTTCCTGGTATTCTGATGTGTAGACATTGTTATTATAATTATTTATTTATTATAATTTTTAACATTTTACTTCAAATGACACAAAAGTAAAGGAACATATTATACTGCTCTTTAAATTAAATAACCTAGATTAACAGTTCTGATAAGTTTACATAAATTGGCATTAAAAAAATGTTTTCCTTGCAATAAGATTAAGTTTGAGATTTTGCTGTTGTTGACCTGTTGCCGTGAAAATTGATGGTTATTAAAGACTCCCCAAAAAAACTGTATGCCACTATTTTTTACTGGATACTGTGGATTGCAGATGAACAATAGACCAGGCTGATAAATGAATGTTCTATGAAAAGTAGGATGTTTGTAAGAACCAAATTATGACTGTGAATCTGCAAACCATCATCATTCTGCAAGAACAGCAAGTTAAAACAATAAGCTAGACAAGAGCAGTATGCATGAAGACAAAGAAGAATCATAAACCAACATAAAAGCTGGTGTTGGTAGCCACCACACACTGTGGGATTTACAAAGCAAAGAATCACAGCACTTAAAGCCAGACTGGCTTGAAATGCAAGGAGAATGATCTGCCTACTAATTAGTTCTTTCAGTCATATTTGATCTTCTTCTTCTTCTTCTTCACTTCCTCTTTTACCGCTGTGGGTGTCGAGGGAGATATAAGGTTCTGTTTCTGGCTCTTTTGGCCGCCTCGACCATAGGCACATCGTGCTGTTGTAGAGCTTCTCTGATGTTATCCTTCCATCTTGTTCTTGGTCTACCTCTTGCTCTACGACCTTCTTCTCTGTCCATGTATACTTTGTATGGTATGGTGTCACAAGGCATGCTCTCTAAGTGGGTAAACCATGTCACTTGCTGTCTTTGTGTCATATTTTATATATTCATTTATATCATTAGTCAGGAATAAGCAAACCTAAAGATTTCATGTTAATCTGCAGCTCCATCAGTTAACCAAGTCTTCACATTGGACTTTGAGTCAAAGCCTCTCTACACAGACGCAGATTACTCACTGTCACTCAATGTACAGCCAGTGGAGATTGTCTATGATGAGGTAAGTTAGACTAAACCAATGTGAATGTGTCTGTGAGGAGGTAAGATGTTTTTATCAGCCTCATGTAGTTGATCCAGTATAAAGAAGATCGGGTCTTCTTCTTCTTTTCTCCTCGTCACTTCCTCTTGATTTGATTTGATTCAAGAACCGATATCACAGCACTCGGGGCATTCCCATAAGCGCTCCATCCCCATCTTCAGCAGCCAGTGAAGAGTTCCGATACTAATGGTGCCAGTAGCATTTTGATCAAACGTCTGTCTTGCCTTTTCTCTGAGCCTCAAGCATCTGCCAGAACCTCTCGTCACTCCCCCCTGCATCAATCTCACCATGCTGTGGTGATCCATCTGCTCCTCCGAACTGTACACGCTCTCCCACAAGGCACTAACCACGTCTGCCTTATCATGTATCAGTATTCCACCAAGTTGTGCAGAGCCAGCCAGTCTTTTACCGCTTTCGGTGTCGAGGGAGATATAAAGTTCTGCTTCTGATTTTTCTTTCTGCCTCAGCCGTAAACACGTCATGTTGTTGTGGAGTTTCTCTGATGTTATCTTTCCATCTTGTTCTTGCTCTACTTTGTACTCTACAACATTCCCCTCTTTTGACAGATGCTTTGTATGGTATGCTGTTTCAAGGCATTCTCTGAATGTTTGATGTTTAATTAAGAATCAACATCATATTACTCGGGGCATTCCTATAAGCAGTCCATCTTCAGCAGCAAATGCAGAGTTGCCTGTTCTGATAATACCAGTAACAATCTGATTATATATCCCTCTTGTGTTCTCTGAGTGTTGAGCATTGGCCTAATCTCCTGGTCACTCCTCACAACACTACTCTCCCCAGACCATGATGATTATCTGTGCCCTTCAAAGGACCTATACAACATCTAGCTTGTCGGGAAACAGTTCACCATCAAGTTGTGCAGAACTAGCCAGTCTGTCTGCCTGCTCTATCCCCAGCACACCAACATTATTAGAGAAAATAATAAAAGAAGATCAACTACCCAGGTCCTCTGAAGTGATATTTGCCACTCTGTACAGAGCTTATCTGTCTTTCAGCATGTTCTGTGAGTAGATTACAATTACAACATGTGTGTGCATCGGATGGTTGCAGTGACTGCCTTCACCTCCATTCTGAGACTAGTTATTGTGGTATCATATGCCAGGCTTTGTTGTGTTGCACTGTTTGACATCCATTCGCTTTCGCAAAAACCCTTATGAGCTTTATCTGCCTCTCAACACAGAACCATTTGTATAGATAATCACATTACCTATGCGAGAATTGTCATGAGTCATTTCTTAAACTTCTGATTCTGAAGCACCAGTCCCTGCATTTATGGAGCACTATGATCAGAACCCTGCACAAGTGTGATTGTTGCTTGGCATTCTAGCTAAGTGGGCACACTATTTGATTTGCTGTTTTTGTATGTAATTAAAATAGATTATGTGCCAACTTTTTCCTTAATCTATATCTTTCCTTTCTCCTAATTTCTTATCTGAGTTTATTTAGTCAGTCATAGCTGTAGACACTTCACATTCATCATCTCATAAAATATCTCCTTTCTGGAATCACACTTAAATCTGGTCAGTAATCCCTAATCTGTCTGCTTTCCTTTCTCTGAACTTCTTATTTGCATGTTCTTTTTATAATGTCATAGTTATAGATCTTCAGATTTATTATCTGATACAGTCTCCTTGCTAAAATCACACATAAATCCAAACTCAGAAATCTTGGTTTACGTGCTTTCTTATCTTCTAACTTCTTATTTGTATACTTTATTCAGTCAAATTTGTAGACACTTCAAATTTATTATTTTATAGTTTTTGCCTTGCTTGAACCACACTGAAATCCAAAATTAAAAGTCCCTAATCCTTTCTTCCAACTTCTTAGTTATGTGTTCTGTTTATTCAGTCATAGTATTCATTGTCTCATACATGTCTCCTTGCTGGAACCACACTTAAATCCAAAACATTGTTAGTATTTTATCTGTTACTGTGTCTTCACCTAGTAGTCTTTATGTCAGTTATCTTGTTCTAGGACAGTAAGCATTCCTATTTCTGTGTATCCACTCTTGTTATATTTAGACAGTGTTATCATTTCCATTCTTGAACTATAATAACAAAAAATTACATTCTTGAATAATTCAGCTAAATTATTAATTAATACATGATTATTTAAACATAAACAGCTTGCTATTTCTGTTTTGTGTTTTTGTAGCATTCCATATCAGAAGTGGCTGCATTTTTCCAACTGCCGCATGGAGGATTTGACATCAGAACAACTGCTGTAGAAACCTTGACCAGTGTTGCTAAAGTCAGCAGGGCAGGCTTGCAGAATGCAATACAGTCACACACGGTATGGCTCCTGCAGCTGCAGTAAAAATCAAGCAAACTATTTTAACATAGGGTGACCATAGATGCATTTTTTTCCCCAGCTGTGCCCCGCCATCCTGTTTGGTTCTCCCAACAAAACACACATTGTCCCATAAAAAAAAAAAAAAATCCAGGAATTAGCCTGAGAACAGAACATACATTTGTAGTTATATCTGTAGACATATTAGATTTTCTAGTTTAGATACTTTTAGTGATTGAAATATTTTGATGGAAATTTCATAGCTGCATTTTTTTTTTAAGCGCAGTTAAAGAGCACATTACTTGGTGATAGTGGTTCAGATTTTACAGATGAGGAGCAAGTAATTAACATTTCCAGCCTGGTGACTTAGAAAAAGGGGAAGTGGGGTTGAACTGACTTGTTTCTGATATCCTGTTTTCAGCTCAAAATATTAGTGGGATGTCCTGTTTTCAGCTTAAGATAATATGGTCACCCTATTTTAACACCATCTTTTGAAATATATTTCTTTCAAAATATTCAACTTAAATGAATCATCGTCATCATCAAGTGCCTTGCTGTGTATCGTGGGTGATCATGTCTCACCATATTCTGCAATTTTTTACAGCATGTATTATTTCATGTGCTGACATCCATCTGCACCATGACAAAAGGCTGTCAAGAGTTTTTTCTGTCTCTTTCTTCCACAGATCTTTCCAGTGGTCACAGCATGTTCCAGTTTCTTCCTTTTTCTCATAATTTGACCAAAAAATGACAACTGTACCTTTCTGATGTTTCTGATAAGCTGTCTGTATTGATATCCTAGCACAAAAATCTGGCCCATTCATGCTCTATCCTCAGATGAAGCAGCCATCTTGAAGTTTCCATGCTCAATATACCCAGCAGGAGATGGTTGATATATCTTCTTTCTTTGCCCTGTGACCAGTTTCTGCATGCTTGTTCTCATTTAATACCCATTTCCTACCATTCGTCATCTATGTCTTCTTTGTGTCAATATCTCTGGAATATGTCTGCCCTATCCATACTTCTTTCTCCACTAACTCCTGCAAACACAGCCAGTCTGTTGTCACTTTCATTTCCTTTTACCCCTACATATTCTGGTGTGTACAGCTAAGATAGTTTCTTCCATTTTGTTCACAGTTTGGCAGTGTGAATCTTCTTAAGCATGCCCCTTGAGTCTGTCATTATCAGTGTGTGGGGGTTGTTTTCCGTTCAGCCAGTCATGCAACTGTCCCCTGTGACAGCTGCTTTCTTCATCATCATGCTAAAGGTAGTCGAACTGAATGCCTGACCTTCTCCTTTTACCATCGTCCCGTTCACCTGCACAAAAACAATAATGTGTATGTAAGATATTATAATATTGTAAAGCAAAATATAATTAACCCAAATGAATGTTGAATATTGAATTAAGAATCAACATCACAGCACTCTGGACACTCCTGTAAGTGCTCTGTCCCTTATCTTCCGCAGCAAGTGAAGAGCTCCAGTTCCAATGACACCAGTAGCTGTCTGACTGTATATATGTCCCCTCTTTCCCTTGAGTGTTGAGCATCAATCAGATCCCCTGGCAACTCCTCGCAGCGGCATTCTCCTCAGACTGCAAAGGTCTGTTTCTGCCAGAGCACGGTTCACTCACTCCCAAGGGCCCTCACAACATCTAGCTTGTCATACATCTATTCACAACCAAGTTAGTGCAGAACTGGCCAGTATATCTGCCTGCTTATTTCCCAACACACCGGCATACCTGAAGAAACTATCCAAAAGACACTTAACTACCAAGGACCTCTGAAGCGATGCTCGCCACTCTGCACAGAGAGTGCCCATCACCACCTTTCTCAACACACTGTTCACATTTATTCACAATTATGATGTGTGTTTATAGCTAATTCTCAAGCCAGCAGGAGGCAGAAGTGAGTTTCCACCTTTATTCTCAAACTAGATGTTGTGATATCATATGCCAGGCTTTGTTCCTGATTCTGCAGCACCAGCTGGTCAGTCTGGGATGTGCAGGGGGGGGGGGGGGGGGGGTCTCATCTGTATGGTGGAAACTGTGTCATTATGCTCGTTAATCCTGATGGGGTTGAACATCACTCACTCGCTGTGCTCAAAAGTGTAGGCCAACATGTTTTACCAGTTAAACATGATTTCAGAGTCTTAGATTAGATCTCTGTTTTTTTAAATGTGTAACCATGTGACCAAGTTCAGCCGGGTATGTATCTATTAGACTTTCCTGTGCTCACTTCTCATTAGGTTTGCCAGTTGTGTTACTTGTGAACAAACAGTTCCTTTTTTTATTTCAGACAATCCATATGGCTCTGAACATGAGATCTCCATACATTGTTATTCCAGAGTTTGGAACCTTGCACAGGTTTGTTCAAAAATGTAGAAGCTGTGTTCATGTTTGATTGTAACCTTTTTAGTCAGTATTGTTTGTAGTAAAAAGGCTATACTGCACAATCTAAATTTTTTTTTTTAATTATTTGTTTCCATTCTTGACACTTTTGTTAAAGTTATTAAGTTATTTGTCACGGCTTGTGGTATGCATTTTGAACATTCTTTGGAATTAAATTCTAAAGTAAGCTATACTGCATTATCTACATTTAAAAAAAGATTATTTGTTTCCATTTTTGACATAGTGTTATTAAAGTTATGAGTTATGAGCTGGATTATCTTCACAGCACTTTGGACACATCCATTGGTGCTCAGATTTCCCCCTCAACATGTTCATCAGCATCGTGCAGTTAATAGTGCCAGTTCTGTGTTGGTCGACAAGACTTTGTGTGCATCTGGTGTGCTTCTCATGCTTGGCTGTGCCGATCTTTACTCCCAGTTCTCTTATTCTTAGCAGTAATGTGGACACATTGCTTCCAAAATCCTCAGAGCATCCTATCTCTCTAAGGGCATTGACAATGTCTGCGTGATCCATGGGCCGGCCATCTTCAATTAATGTGGCCCCTGCCAGTCTATCAGCTCTTTCATTACCAACAACACTATGCTTGGGACAAATATGAAGGTAACTGCACACACAGGATAGTTTTGCAATGACTCAGTCCACTGTCTGCATAACCGGCCTGCCTTGACCTGCTTGATCATGCTAAAAAAAAAAATCACTCAGCACACACATGCAGAAATAGTCCTGTGGTTCTAGCCACATGAAAGCTTGTGTCACCGCCATCATCTCCATCATCGTTCTGCTGGTAGTCATGGAGAAGGCACCGATCGTTTCTTGAGCTGTTCTGCCTGAAGAGTGAACTGTAAATGCTCATGCACTCTTATGTCCTTGTATAACTGACCCGTCTGTGAAGATCAGCACATCTGTGTCAAATCACTTGTCACAGAAAAGCGGCATTGACAGCAGCAGAATTCTGCTCCTGACAACTCCTATCAAGCGTTACGACACAGGAGAATGTGAGACTGGGCGCTTTAGATGCTGGTATCCATTCCTCACCTGCATGGATATCGGTAAGGCTGCAGACCTGCATGATGCCATCCTCTGCCCTACCCAGCCATGATTTGCCCTTTTTAAGTCCATTGTAATGTTATTGAGTTGTTTGCCACAGCCTGTGGCATGCATTGCAAAAATACTCCCTTTGCTTCACGTGTAGGCAGTTTGGCAGCAGACTGCATTGCATTGATTTCTTCACTATGTGTATTCCGGGCTTTATTGTGTGTGTGTGTGTGTGTGTGTTTGTGTGGTGGGGGAACAAACTCACTACCCGCTCCCCCTGACCACAACAAATATATATTGTAAATGTCTACTAATTATGTATGTAGCGTCTATGGCTTAGGCATTGCGACCGCACTTTGCAATGCTGGGTTCAATTCCAGCTGCGGACGATTTGGCAGCAAATCTTGCATTGGTTCTGAGTGGTACCGGTAGCTAACTGTTCAGATAGTAGTGGGCAAACTACTGAATGTAAATTTTACCTTAAAAAGCTTCAACAGCCAAAAAATGCTGGTGTGTGTTGGTTCTGCAATGACCTGTAAAGGATATGCAACTAACTTCTTATATATATATATATATATATATATATATATATGGTAATTTACTCACACCAGTGTTATTTACTTATTTTAACATAGTTATTCTGCTACAACTACTACCATTACATTAAGTTATTGATAATTCCCGTCCTTTTCAGGATGAAATTTTTCGTTATTTGAAGCCCTACTCTGGCTCTTGCCAGGGGCCGCAATATATCCTGACAATAAATATGGCCTAAAGGCTGAATGCGGTATCTAGGACCTCTCCACGGCGATCCTCACCCGCATGGTGGCACATTGTGTCATCGGGCATTTATTGCTTTTGTGATGTCCCGGTGGGGTAGAAAGTCAGTCAATCTTACCATTACATTTTCAGGGGAGGTCGAATGTTGAATTAAGAATCAACATCATAGCAATCAGGACAATCCCATAAGTGCTCCATGCCAATCTTCAGCAGCAAACCAAGAGTTCCAATTCCAATGATACCAGTAACTGTCTGATTGTATATTTCAGGGGAGGTAATGTGCTTATCATTGACTTGGGTACCTTACGGATTGAGAGTGAGTTACAGCCTAAAGATGTGTCCTTGGAGGCAAGTTATTTTTAATTTGTTTCACAGATTTTATGCATCTTGTACAAGTTTCAGATTAATCGTGTTGATAGTTATGATCAAAGAATGTTTGCTGTTAATAATTTGTATCAATCTGAACAGATGAAGGCTTTCTAACCGCAGTGTTTGCTTGTTGTTTGTGTTTTGAAACTGACTGGTTCTACTTTTGTTGTTGTGGTTTGATATGTTTGCAATATATTTGTGTAGGCTTCACCACACTTTACAAATGTAACTTCGCTAAATTAGAGGTCATCAGGTGCAAGCCTTGGTATGTGCTACGTAGATGCAAGTATATATGGCCTTGATTATTCAATCTATCCAGTGCTTATATGGTCTATTTTAGCTCAACTTCCATTATGTCTAAGTAGGGGAGTACTCTGTGTTGCACTGTCTTATGGTAGTCTTGACACAAATCCAGACCGTTTTATATGTTGTCTCTTGATGTAGTTTAGTACTGGTTCTTTCTCAATTTTTTTCTTAATATTGTCAGTTCTGATCCTGTCTCTACTAGTTATAATTATGGTTCATCGTAGTCATGTCATTTCTGTATCATTTTTGTTTTGTATTTGTTAATTTGGCACTGGTAACACAATGTTGGTTAACTCTTTGAGGATGGAACGCCATTTAAATGGCATTTAAATCCATTACCTGTAGATGGAACACCATTTAAGTGGCTTTTCATAGAAACACTCTAATATTGTTTCGTTTGCAGGGAAAACAAATTTGTATGATCATGTTTTGAAAAACTTGAATTAGCGAAACAAAGTCCTTTAATTTTTTTTTTTAAGTTCGGCATGGCTTTTGCGTCACTTTCTGAAGTGTTTTGAATTTGTTTAGATGTGATATGATTTTTACGTGATTTTTCTCTAGCAAATAATATGGGAAAAGGACTAGAACTGTACATTTTACTCTGTCGTTGATGAATCTCAGCCAAATAGTGACAATAGTCTTGATACTGTGATTGATAAGGCATGTGCTAAACATATTGCCGATAATTTAGGTTAGGATGAAAACTGAAAAAATATTTCAGTCGGATCATCTGTTTCAATCAGCTGTTTTCCTGATTTTTGGTTGTTGTGAAATCTGACAGGTCATACAAAAATGATCATAACATCCAAAGTATTTAAATTATTTATTTCAAATAAAAACTAACTGATACATCATTGAACAGAGAAGGTATGTTAATTCTTATAAATGGATAGCAGTGTTGTTGAACAAGTAAAAAGTAAGGTAAGCACAATATGTTCTGTGTAAATAATTTTCATATGTATCTTTGAATGTTATTTCATTTTAATAATATTTTTTTGTAATACTAACAGTTAAATAGTTTATATTTATTCTGCACTCATTTCACTTTAATTTGATATGTGTCTCTATACAGCCAATGGTTTTTTTTTTTTTCTGGAAGGTTTTAGCTTTGTCATGTTCATTAAAACAATTCAGCTCAAAATTGCTGTCCAAATCCCAGAAAAAAATGTCCTGAAAGTTTCTGTACGTGTGTATTAAAACAAAAGACCTGATAATTATGAAGGCATACTAACTTCATACCTTTTTAAAGAAAACACTTCTGCTAATTTTTATTTAAATGATGAATGAATGAAGAATTTACATCACAACAATTGGAAAATTCCCACACATGCTCCATCCCCATCCTCAGTAGCTAAATAAATATTGACATGCTAGTAGTACCAGCTTGAACTTGATTAAAAGCTGTGTTTTCCCCTCAATACTGTAATTATTCCAGAACCTCTACCCACCCCACCCCCCCCCCCCCCCCTCCCCCCCCCCCCCCACTTTGAACTAGACTTTCACTGTACGGATTTCCCTGTGTGGGTTCAAGACCTTATTATAGGGAAAACAAGAACAGACCCACTGCCTACCCAAAAGCATGTGGTAAGAGTCGACTGATTGGAGCTTCCTTCAAAGTCGGAGTGCATCTGCCTAAGAGGCAAGGAACCAGCAGTCTGCATACAAATGAGTCAGATCTGTAAAACGGATGCACATGCAACACTCAGTTTCTGGAACAGGACTGCAGTCCAGAAGTGGATGAACAACCAGAACTTTTCTGCCAGAGTTTACAGCTGCTGAACGCAAAGAAGAAGAAGAACTGTATGGATTCTTTGTCTGTTCTGTTGCCCTGTCTAATTGATCCCAGAGGGCCTTCATCACGTCACTTTATCATAAATTAGCTTACCCTCCAAATCTGTCTGCCTTCTAATTACCTCGCACATGAATATCCTGGACAGAAAATCTGTGCTGTGTTTCTGCTCTGAATCTTATCAAGTGGTTCAAGCCACTTTATGCATGGGACGCCAGTTTCAATTATAAGAAGCAATTTATCTTGAACTTTTGATATGCAGGCACAAGTTAGATGCTAAAGTCCCCTCTTTGGAGGTTAACATCTCAGACAAGCGGATGCTTCTCTTGGCCACATTCTTCCAGAATTTTCCAATCCCAGCAAGTTCAAGTATGGCAACAATTGGAGAAGACATGGTTGATGGTCATGGAGGGATGGCTTTGATGGCTATGCGTGTGGTAGGTAAATTAATACTGTTCTCTTTTATGTTGTTTTAGTATGTGAGTATTATTTGTTCCCCATACTGGTGCAATGAAGTGGATCCTGTGGACTTTAACCTTTAACTTTAGGCTTGTTCATCATAAGAGATGAAATGACTATGCATATGAAAGTGATTAATAATGTTGATGCATTGCAGAAATCATTCCATCTTGTGTACGATGAATATAAAAATAATAAAGATGATGTTTACAGTCTTAACTCTTAACTTTAAGCTCATATCCATGGTTTATGCACATAGGCAGAGGTTAATCACACACGGTGCATTACTCATGATATAATTATAGAAAGTACCTTAGATATAAATAAGACCCCACTCAGTGTTAAAGGTCAGTTTGGAGGGGAAAGTGTTGGGGAAGTAGGCAGGAGAAAGACCCTGTAGATTACAGACAACATTCAAGAGTAGAAATATAACTGTGAGTGCAGCAGTATAGAAGATGTTGTTGGCTCACTGTCAATCAACCTTTATTGTGAAGATGGCACTTGATGATATCATTGTGTTTATCTAGGTAAACTTACCAGTATTATAAACAGGTGAGGGACATAATTGGGCGATACATTATGTAGAAAGACCCAATTAAATAACCCAGTGGAATCTATGTACAATAGAAAGACTACAGTATAAATCTATGGAAGACATGGTGTAGCAATAGATTCCATAGAAAAATACAGTAATATAAAACAACAGAAAACTTGATGCAGTCTTATATATCATAAAAAGACCCAACAGTATCAACCAGTAGAAAAGGTGTAACATTATGTTCTGTAAAAAAAACCAGCAATACAGTACCAACTAATTGGAATAAGTGATGCAGCTTAACTCTTTGAGTCCCAAGGAACGCATCATACGTTTATAGGTTCCTACCTAGAAGCCAAATGAACACATGATGCGCCGATTTTATGACTTTATTTACTACCCCCTGGGCCTGTGATGCTAAACCCCCTGGGACTAAAAGAGTTAATTCATTACGGAAAGATTGTAGTTGAATTTTAATTATCTAGATATGTTCACAATGCACAGTTGCATATTAGTAATATACTCTCTACTTTCTACAATATTTTCTATATTTTTCTCAGTCTTCTTTAATTATTCCTATATTCGTTATATATTTAAAAAAGATATTTATGTTTATGTTTAATTGTATAAATTAAGCATGTGACATCCATTAACTTCCACATAGTTTTATGTTGTCTTAAATCCTAATCAATCTAATTAGTCTTATGTTTGAATTTTTCTGTTAAGCATGCATTAAATATTTCTTATGTCATATGTTCTGTTTATATATTTTTATTTTAGAAGTATCTGTTTTCTAGTATGGATGAGATGCCATTGTTTTTGGTGAGACCCTGAGAAGGATATGCTATGTTTCCTCACCGCTATCATTTCACAACAAATGAAAAGTACCGTGAACTTAGTTTCATAGTCACACCATACTTCTTTTTTTTAAATGCTGTATGTGATTGTTGTGCTTGATCTTTATTGAATGTTATTCTGTCTGGTTTCTGTACCTTTCTGTGAAACACAAGTTTGCCACTGCCTTGCAACTGCTTTTATTACTCTGTTTTCACCATTTTTTTAATGCCAGATAATAGTAGCACATGATTTTTCACCTTCATTGTAATGGTAGCACAGGTTCTGGAAGTTTGTGCCTGATTCACTTAGTTTTAACTTGCTTTAAGTTAAGCTCAAACTAAAGTTAGTTAGTTTGTTAGTTAGCTAGTCGAGGTTTCAGCATCACAGCAATCGAGTTTCCCCATACTTGTGCCTGTGCAAAATGAAATGTCCCTCACTGTTGCATGTGAAACATATTGAACAAACTAGATCTGGAATCAGCTGCTCAAGGTGGCAAAGCCAAAAATCGCCACCATAAATGCAGTTTGTCGTTGATGGAAGTAGCCGGGCACTAAATAAGTATTTTAACTGGTTTTAAAAGGATTTGTTTAATTTTCCCCTTCCTGAGGGCTAATCATTAAGTTCAAGGACTCCTGTTGGTTGACCTACCCACTTAGTCAGTTTTATCTCCTACAAAGTAGTGCTCTTCTAGTTGTATAAATTTATTCCAGCAATATTGCCCCAAAAAAATAAAAGAAGTGTTCTTAATGATCAACCTCCATCTGTAAAGTACAGTTTTGACAGGCACTGTGCCTGACTAGCAATTAGCTTATGTCTCTGCTATGTCAGTTAACAGTAATAATTAACTGACTCACAGAGTATGTTGAGAAAGATGGAGACTGAATCCATGCAGGGTGGCAAGCATCGCTTCTTAGGTCCCAAATAGTTAGCGTCCTTTGGATATTTTTTCCAGGTCACGCCAGTGTGTTGGGAAATGAGCGGGTACCACTTTATGGTTAATTGATGTGTGACAAGCTAGATGTGATGCGGACCCTTAGGGACTGAGTGAATAGTGCGGGGCACAAGAAGATCATTACGGTCTGAGGAGTATAGCACTGCAAGGAGTTACCAGGGAATCTGGCCGATGCTCAACACTCAAGGACAAAGGGAGATGGATATACAATCAGAGAGCTGCTGGTA